AGCTCAAAAGATAATCTTATTAACATACGTTAAAGACATGCTTCGAAAAAACATGTTAAGATTTTTGTAAGAGGTTTTTGTATAATTACTATACACAAACCTTTACAAAAATCTTAATATGTTTTTTCGAAGCATGTCTTTAACGTATGTTAATAAGATTATCTTTTGAGCTCTTTCCGATTACGGTCTGATCGCGTGATCTCGACATTTTTTTGCCATGACTAACCCACTTAAATGTCGGCTCGTATATCAGCATGCTTAAAAATCCTATGATTGGTTGATCAAAATTTGTTGTCACATGTGATGTAATTAGTGATGGGGAAAATGCGCATTTTATAATAACATGCGCATGAATGCGCAATAATGCGCATGAAACGTAAAATGCGCATGATACCGCATGATATAAATTCTCTTTTTTCTGCTTCATTTCGAAAAAAATCGGTATATTTCTCGAATTTCGGTCGCGACCTTGCTCGTCTTTGAGGTTCATTCATTTTCTTTTCGGAATTTTAAATTCCTATCCCTTAATTCCGCCCGGCATTATGCTCTTTGGCCTAATTACGCGGTCTACCAAAACATATACAAATTCTTGATGGGCAAAAATGCGCATGAAACGGAAAAATGCGCACAAATGCGCATGATACCCATTTCTAAATGTAACTCGTGCGACAAATAATGCAGATCAATTTTTAGAATACTATTTACAGTCATAGGACATTTCCCCTTACAGGGGTTCAAAATGATTTATACTAATAAAGTAAATACGTCGATCGCTCAATTTTTATATTAAAATCTTGTAATTTTTAACGTTGCTCATGAGTAACCTCATATTTGTACAACCTATTTACTAATATCGTCTAAGTCGAAAATGTTCTCAGAACTTTTATTTATTATACCAAAAAATATGAACTCTAAATACTTTGTAATTCGAAAGAGATCTTCGTTCGAAGTTAAAGTATTCTAACCCCTGCAATAAGATATGTATTTATGTATTTCGTGTACTTATTTTATTTGTTTGCTCGCGAACAGTAAAATAAAGCTTAATAATAAACTGATTCACTTCTATAGATTGGAATTGGGTACGTACGTAGTTCTTATTCTGTTTGTTTGCTCATGATCACTAAAAAAACTTACTAGTAAACTAATTTACTTCTGTAGATTGCAATTGACAGTTGAGTACATATTTGATCTTATTTCGTTTGTTTGTTTATGATCAGTAATTTCGCTTCTATAGATTGAATTAACCCAAATATGGGTCTTTGCCTTGAAAATGACCTTACGGGACATAGTAATTACTATGTTCTGTAAGGTCATTTTCAAGGCAAAGACCCCATACCTTAACATCTTTTCTTAAAACAATTACTAATGTATTCTAGGTTAAAAAGTCTTTTTACGTTCAGACTTTTACGTGTTTCTTGGGTATGAACTGAATCTAAGACTTTTGAAGGTTAATTATTCCGTTTATTCAAAATTACAATCTGATATTTATGCACATGAATTAGATTTTTCTAGATACGTTTATAATACTTTATATTTATATTGGTAGTTATAATCTCTAGTCCGTTGGAATAGGAGTTGAAACAAACAAATGAGATTTTTACTCATGATTAGAATTCTATGACACTTCCAAGATGTTCTCGCTCAATTGATTTCAATTTGGGTTCAGCATTCAGAAATTAAGTTCAATTTTTGATATAAAAATTTTGAAATCCTCAGACTTTATTAACTAATTTTGTTATTTGAACATTAGACACCAAGCATTCGTCTGCTTATTAACTGAATCAAGTTATATGTGATAGCGCTATTCTCAACGATTCCCTCTATAGTTTATAGAATAACCTAGTAGGTTAGAAAAATAAATCGTATAATTATCTAAGTCTAAGTATTTTTATTTCTTAAGAGTTACATTGAATGGCTACTATTTAAAATCCGCATTTTGCATGATGAATTGTCAGATCCTTTCAATTAATCATGATAATTGAACAACTCGATCCATAACAACAAAATCACTTTGAGAGAGCTACGGTGATCGAAATTTGTAAAATAAGTTCATAAAAAAAAACAAAACAAAGTTAAATATTAATTCTTGAATTGTAAATTTATTAATATTATAATTAATAAATATTGGAACTTTTTGGCTTTATATTTTATTTTTATTTTATTTTTTGCTTGCAATAATGCAACATCCTCCTAAAAATAAATACACGCAGTCTTTACAAGTGTATATTATTAATTAATCTATTAATACTAAGCGTAACAGTTTCCACAAATCTATTCAATTTATGAGATGTGTAACGTTTTTGATCTAAATGACCATTATTATTAACCCGTTTGGAAAAAGATATAAAATAAAAATTAAAGTATAAAAAAAAAAATAAATCAAACAAAAAAAAAATAAAATAAAAAATAAAATAAAATAAAATAAAATAAAATAAAATAAAATAATTATTTAGTACATTAATATGTAGAGCAGTGAGTTAAATAGATATCTTGTTCACTATTTCAATTTGACTTTGTATTAAACTTCGCAATAGTCGATAATCTAGTAATTGAAACTCACCTAGTAACTAACAACTTTCAAAAAAAAAGAAGAAAACTTAATATGTGGATTAAATCCGAGAATTACAAACAAGTGATCAATGAAAATTTTGCGTATGCGTCTCAAGGATTTTATGAACTTACCAAACGACAGATGGAAATAAGGAACCTCTAATATATTAAATTGAGAGAATAAATAAATAAAATAATAATTGTCGCAGCTGATACTGAAATTTGAAGTCTCGAATTGAAAATATAAACTTAAATAAAATTTGCATATACTCTGATCTATACTTGTTACCCGAAACGAAACCTTCCTGAAACTAGTTTCGAGAAGTACTAATCCAAAACCCAAAATATAGTTTCGGTTTCGAAAAACCGAAACTCGAAGTTATATTCCAAAACTGAAATCTACCTTTCGGCAAAAAAAAAATAGTTTCAGATAACAAGTATACTCTGATCCTAAATCCAAAGCTAAAAAAACATCTTCAAAAAATTTTTTAGTAATGAATAGGTTCAAATTTCAATATCAGACGTAGATTGCATTAGAAAACTTACCAAAAGATAGGCGAAGACGGACCGTTCGAGGATTAAAATAAATTATTAAAAAAAACGAATCGTGTAGTCATAATGCGTAGAGTAAAATACAGTTTCTTTATAATCGCCCCAATGAACAAATTCAAATTGGAAATACAAATTAGTATTATTCTTTTATAATACAACACTTTTATTATAGAGTATAATAAACATACCAAATAAAAGTTGAATTCCTTCGTAGTGCATTTTGATATCCAAGTTGCAATGTGAAATCATGAAATTCACGTAGATCTTAGCTGAAAAAATGGAAATCTATTGTATCACGTATAATATACCTGATCTCTAAATAGCGCCGTAGGCAATACAATTTGAAGTGGCAGAAAATTTTTAGAATATGTTAGATATGATTTTGGATATAAATCTTTGCTAGAATAAATACTTCGAATCATCAACTAGTATTTATTTGATGCAAATGTTATTTTGGCGAATGAAATTATATCCTATTAACATTTACATAATAAAATTTTTTTAGACATACACTCGTCTTTCTGAATAATATATTTATATTCATTTAACATACTAGTTTTCCGGATGCTGGCTTGAATTATATCATATAGCCCGAATTAAGTTCCTTTCTAATTGTATTTTCAAAATTTCTCAATGTTATCCAAATTGCAATTTTAGAATCGATTCTTTGTGTGAAATTGACTTTCAACTTTGGATGAGAATATAGTTGTTAGGCGGAACCTAAAAAAGGAAATTATAACAATGTACTTTATAATTTCCTTTTTTGAGTTTCGCCTGACAACTATAGACGAGAACTAATTTCACATTTAGTGACTGTAGAATTGTGTATCATTTGATCCCTCAGAATACATTCAAAGTTAATTGTTAATACTTCCGTTTTTATAGAATAAAACAATCATAAAATGTAATTACTTACACATCATGACATCTTTGAGCGGTTAAAACTTTACCCATAAATTTTATATCTTTTTCTTATTTAGTGTTTATATTGCTGTTTATTTATCATTTCTTATTTTGTATTATTTTTGACAAATTTTTACCTTACATGGCTTTTATTATCACATAGCCTTTAATTTACTTGCCAAATTAGATGTGGCAATATGAATTAACGTTGGATGATGCGAATAGCGCTAGTGTAAATAAATTTGGTAAATTAGGAAGTGGCACAGTCGAAAATAGGCATTATAGGAGATGGGAAATTTGCCTTGAGATTGTATGTCGCAGAAAAGGTATAAAAGACCTTGAATTTTACTTTTAATGAATTTCTATAAAACTCTAATCATTATATAACTCTTAAATATTATATAAATTACATCTATTCTCGAACTACTACTAAAATGAGTGATTCTGAATTTACTTACATGAATTTCGAGGAATGCAGTTCTTCTGATTAAAATCAGGAAGACTCGTTTATTCTTGATGAAAATAATTTTGCGAATGCTCTTGCAAGTGCTCATCTTTTATTGAGGGAAGAAAATGAAGATCATAACAATGATAATAATTATGAAAATGATGAAGATATCAACGAAAATAATAATAAATATAATAACGAAAATAATAATGACAATAATGATGACAATGAAGATATATACATAAGAAAAGCAGATACCTATACTCGAAGTTCGCTTTTAACGCCATGTGCTGTTTTAGACATTTTTGGAGGCGATATAAGGCGTTGTGGTAGTAAAACAAATTTGCGGGCATTGAAACAAATGATAGAAACATGGGAGATAGATGCAGATGCTATCAAAGAAATTAAAGATAGCTATCACCAACTTGGAGTATGTTTTTCTCATTTTACCTTTGATCAAAACTGACTTCATACTGAAGGTGCAAAACAATTGTACTCAATCGATCAAAATATTCCTTTCCGCTTTTGCATTTTCTGTCATAAAAAAAAATGTTTCTATAGCCGTGGTGACAATTGTAAGGAACATTTATGGAAAATCAATGGGCGCAATATTCAAATACCTTGCATTGGTGTTTATAAATGTCTAGCATTTACTGAGGGACTTATTGTGCAAAAGTCATCTTCTGGCTATCGTGCACGTTATATATGCTCACAATGTATTCAGCAGGAAGGTGGTCATTTGTACGAAAAACCAGACATCAGTGGAAAAATTTTATCATGTAAGGAAGTAGGAAAACACCACGACGATACAAGCAATGCTCTAAAATATATTGGAAAATGGATAATGTCAGTAGCGGAGTCAGATGATCAAAAGTTGCAAGAGAAACTTCTTTCATTAGTAACTCCAGCATTAACCATTTTCAATAATGAAATAACGAGTAAAAACTCAACATCAACTAAAAAAGAGTCAGAAAAATTGCCAAGCAAGTTACTTGTTCTAACAGCATTGAAAATAGGAAAAGTTAGATTAAATCTATTAATGAAAGAAAAGTTTCAAATAAAAAATCTTGAAGATATTTCAATAGTAGGAGAAAATTTAGGGAAAAACGTTTTGTCTTCGTATTCTAAAATTCAAGAAAATATCAACCAGTTAGAGAACTCGAGTTCTTATGAAGACTACTTCAATGCATTACCTGAAACAATTTGTAGCTTTTTTCAAGCTCTCATCACTGTGCTTCAACAACAAAAACAAAAAATGATTAATAAAAAAAGAAATCAATGTGGACTTCCGCTGAAATCTCTCGACAAAGTCCAAATTACAAGAACTACTATTTTTTTAACTTCTATGCTACTAACTATCACTTTTCCTCAGACAAAAATTTGGCTTTCGTGCATCATATCGTCAATGTGCCAGAATCCAAAGTTGCTACCATACTTACGTGATATTCTTTATTTAGCACGTGTTATATCTTACACTAAGCGGCATGAAAACCGTCTTGAAAAATTTAAAATACATCATGCTAACCCCCGAGAAAACCTAATTAAAGAATCAAACATTTGGAATCTTTCCGCAATTAACAATATTGACTTTAAGGTTTCTACATTCTCACAAGATAACATTTTTGACGTTGTGAGATGAACTTCGTATGCGACACTTCGAATGGTATTTCAGTTCACTTTGTCCACTTCCCTTGAAAATTTTATTGACAATGAATCTGTTGTTCAACCACTGTTTGGAGAATCTTCGACTACTGACAATTTATTAATAATGTATGAAACTATTTTAAACACAATGTTAGAAAATTATGAAAGTGGTAGATTTGATATTGAAAATGTACACTCACAAATTACTAAAAAAATATCTACAGGTTGCAATACTTTACCGCCAAAGGTTGTAATATTGGAGCCTTGTAATCTACCCAATTGCAACGATAATGTTTATGAAGCATGTGAAATATATAATAATAATTTATTAATTGGCGACAATAACAACCTATATATTGCTTGTGACCAAGCGATTTTTGGAAGATTAATTTTCTATAAAGAAACCCATGAGGATGTTTGGCTTCTTTTGGGACAGTGGCATACATCCAAAGCCATGTGCAGCACTTTAATTAAGATATTTTCAGGATACGGAATATTTAATCTCGCAGCAACTCTTGGAGCACCGTTTCTAGATAAATTTGAGCGTGTCGTGGATTATCAGGTAACATGTCGTGTCTTGGAATTAATTTGGATTGCAGTCAGGATCGCACTATGCCAGTATGTAAAAAGAGAAAGAAAAACCATGAATGATATTTTAAGTAGCAATAATTAGCTGGTAAAGGTGTGGTATCTTTTTTTCCGTTGGACAGGATATTTTGTGGGTCATAAAATTGGAATTAGAAAAGGAAATTATGAGATGCAAATAGCAAATTTAGCTGCTTTCGCACCTCTTTTTCCTGCAGCTAGAAAAAATAGGTATGCAAATTCTGTACCACACTTTCTGGCTCAAGTTCACGATGACCCACAACTACAGAAATTACTACAAACAATATGTTCCGTAAATCTCACAAATGAAGGTCATTATTTTGCTTTTGATGAAGCACTTGAAACGTATGGTATAAATTTCATAAAGCAAAATATTAGTAGAAATCTTACTGACTAGCTAACTATGATGCTGAAGATTAAGGCAGCTCAAAGTGAAAAAAATCGTTTATCAACGCTTATTGCTGAATATACTGATGATGTTGTGGCAAGTCAAAGCGTTTGTGCAATCGAATCGCGCAAAGATTCACTTTGGTCCCTGGCTTCAAAATTATGGGATGCCTTTAACCATCCTGATCCCAAAACACACCCTTTATTTAAAGGTGTACCAGAACTTAACGAAGAAGGTATTGTGAATATTCTTTCCTTCTATGAGATTGGCAAATCACGCTTACAAAAAATACTTGATCAGGATGTGTACAAAACTGAGCCACGGTCAACTAGTAAATGTCATATGTGTAATGTAAATTCTTATACCTATACACAACTTAAGGATAAAGAGGATAAAGAGAAAAAAACAAATAAACGAGTAGACAACCTCCCACAAGAATCAATTATTCAAGAAAGTATTTCATCAACATCGCAACAGATGCAATTACCTTTTGAAACCGATCGTACGAAAAACACACGCTGCAAGACAACGGAAGCAGAGAAAGCGATACACGACCAATTATTTGAATCTGAAGAGCTGTCTGAAACAACAGTTTCAAATGTGTTGTTGCAACTTAATACTGTCTCTTCTGACTAGACGAACGAGAGGGTCAAAATATTTTGGAGGAATAACCAGCGTAAGAAGATTCCAAGGACGTAATTTTAAATTCAACGAGTATATACCTTGCAGCCCATTATTGGTTATTATTGTATAAATAAATAAATAAATAATCAGTTTACTGTAAAAATTAAATGAAAAATATTGTTTTTTAATAAAAGAAAAGAACGAAAGTACTCAAACTTTTGAATTAAAATTGCTATTTCTATTCGATTAATGATTACTTCTAAGAAAATATTAAAAATAATAAGTTAAGTGCCCTTATGTTAATAATATATTTGGTTGAGGCCTTTGTTTTTTACTTCAAAAAGAGCAAACCCGAGTCGAATTCAAAGATTCTGGAAGAAGATCTTGAGATCTTTGTTCGAAAATGGCCATTTTCAGTTCGATCTTACTCGACGTAGAGTTATGCAATAAGTATATTTTTTAGCATAGAACAGAAGCCCGAAGCTTGTAAATTCAAATTTATTTAAGGTTGAAGGATTGTTGTTATAGGTTTAACGAAATAATTTTACTAAAAAGTTTTGCTACTATATGTTACACAAAATCGTTTCACTATGAAAATCATCGACGGGGAAATGTCCCGTGACTGTTTATGTAATCCCGTAACACTTTACTTGTGATGTTTAATTTTATAATAAAAAATAATGTTTTCAAATCTATCCGAATTTGTCGGATTACGGATCGACAATTCGGATATCCTTATCCTTTAATTTTAAACGAATAAATCCGTAACGGTAATGTATAATTAGGTTATTAGTAATTATAAACTTCATTGTATTTATTTCTAATACGTTTTTTAATTGACTTTTACGATCATTAGCTGTTAGGTTAAAATTTTTTTATCAATTTATTATTAATTTCTGCTTAACATTTTTCACTTGCACCATAATCGATTAATTTACAATATTCAATTAATTTTAGTTATAAAAGTTTTTCTTTTTTATAGTATGAAGTAAAATAAAAAGTATTGTAAGTAGATCTATCTTAGTTTGTTAAAAAAAAACCTTTTTTAATTTTTAAATAAAAACTACTGTATAATTTTATTTCTAATCTTGACAAAAATTTTATTTAACTATCTTATTTATATATTATAAAAAATTCTAGACAATTATTATTATAACTTAAGAGATTTTTATACCACCTTGAAGCTTTAAAACTGTTATACTATGAATTGGAACTATTGAGTAATAGCTAGAGTTTTTAAAACAATAATTTAATAAATAAATAAAAATAAAAATTGCTATAAAAACTAAAGTGTTAAAAATAAATAACAAACCTCTCTGTAAAATTTCCTTTATTAGGTTGTTTCTTATCCCAAAGGTCTCTAACTGCAATTTCACCTTTAAGGCCAAGATGTGATTTAAAGTTTAATGTAATCTTGATTTTAGTTTCTCCACGATTTAATAAAACTATCATAATAAAGCAAAATTAAGACTCAAAAATAATAATAATAATAATAATAATTAATTGAAAACAAAATGCAAATTTTTTTACAACACATACGTGCAACATAACCATCAATAAGTGGTCCAGTCCAAATCTCATAAGAATCATCGTATTCGACAATATCTACAGATCGTCCAAGGGGATCTTGCTATTTATAAGTAGAGATAATTTGTAAGGTATTAAAAAAAAAAAAACATTTAAAATTAAAAAAAAAAACAAACTTACATTTATAGCTATTATTTCTGTATTTAATACCACAGTCATTGAATCTTTTGGGGGATTTCTGACCTGTTAAAATATAAAGTTAAAATCAAATTTAATCTATAAATAAAGTCATGAAATAAAAACAAAACTTACATCAAATCCAAGTAATAAAGGAGCCTTCAAAGCGGCCCAAAGAGAGAAATGACTTTTTTGTTCATTAAGAGTAAGATCGCCATTACCTATTTCAAGCATATCAGGATCATTCCAGCCTCCCGGCCCTGCATATTTTGTAATATTTCGTTGTTGGTCTAAAATTGATAAAATTGATGACCATTCTGCCTGAATGTCAAGAGTCGTTCTCCAGCTATAATTAAATATTTT